GTTGTATTCATTTTGATAATTGATAAACCGTTTGCTCCTATTAACAAGTCTTCATACCACTGTTAATAGTTAAATACACCTCTTTCATAATTGATCATACATAATTCCTTCTACGTATAAACCCTTGTATTGTGATAATTTTGTCGTGAGATTATAGTTATACTTAGTTTTATTTATTAGTTCTAGTATTATTTTATTCTGTTGTCTTTGTAAATTGTAGAAGGTTTACACGGATAACATCATTTATAAATATTATAATTCATGTTAATTATTATTTGATAATTAACATCTCGGAATATTCTTTTTATTATTTAATTAATTAAATATTTAATAAATATATCTATAATAATTTATTTTTATCAATTATTCTTTCAATATTATTCTTTATTTTTGATTGTGATTTTTTGAGTACATGTTCCATTCTACTTATTATCATTATTGTAGGTGCAATGTCAAGGTTAAACTAAAAATTATATTTTAAATTTCAGATTCTTAATAATTTTAATTAATTCTCTAATTAATTAAACATTACATTTAATTGTTACATTTAATTAGTTCAAATTACTGTTTCAACTATCATTTGTTGAAATATCTTATATTCTTTATATAGCACTAACATACTTTTTTTATTTTTTTTTCAATATATCTTATATCTAATAAAATTTTATTATTAATAGCAATGGAATATTTGTTCATTTAAATATGGAAATTGGAAAGATCACTAATCTCAGGAGTCGCTATGGGAATTCATTCTATAGTATATGAAGCTCACATAAAGGTAGGTCACCATTATGGAAAATTCTTACATCCTGAAAAATTTTTTATGGCTATTTAATTTCGAATTGGTGGAAAGACAAAAAAAAATTGAAATTTTATTCTTTAGAAAATTTTTTTTTAATTTTGGAAATAAAAATCTCAATTAATATAATCTTTACATTTATTCAATATAAACATTATTATCAAATCATATGTTATCATTACTATTATATCAGCAAGTGAAATAAATAAATTTGATCGATGTTTCTTTCGTTATTCTATTAAATAATGGTATAAGAGTAATTAATTAAGTCAAAATGACATCATTTCAAATCATATGTAAACAGATATTATTTTTTCATCAGAATAATTTGAATAATAAAGCAATCTCAACTTCATTATTTCGACCTGATCTTAATATCAGATTAATTTGTCTGAATTGTAAAAATCCCAATCCAAACTTATTTAATAATTTGCAAGTAGAAATATGGTTTTTGAAAGATGTGTATGATAAAATTATAGATACTATATCCGAATGGTGTGGCATGCAGTTAGAATAATACTAAAAGTGATAAAATTATTCGTAAGCTTAATTTCTTGCAATGCCAAGGAATTATAATAATACTGAAAAAATGATCTATTTCATTTTAATTTAATCAATCATAATAATATTACGATTATCTTGTAATTGATTTTTTTAAAAAAAATTATATGATTTATACTGATAGACAAAATACATAATCATTTACGCGAATATTATCAAAACAAAATTTATGATATTTGAAATATAAAATCTTTGTAACGAAATTTGTTTCTTATTAAGACTATATGCATCATCAATTGACAATACATTATATATGTTCATTTCGTTATATCGTAAGCCATTAGATTTAAAGAGGATAAGTGGACAGAAGATAATTCATGATTTAATTGTCCGAGACGACGAAGTATTTCTTTAAGGTCAATTCGATCATTTGAACAATGAGATACAGCTAAATTTATAAATATTTTATAAATATGAATTTCATTTGCAGAAAATACAGTATTATTATATTTAGAACATAATTACATCAAATATAGTTTTCTTCCACCTCCCCTCCTCCCGAAGTATCATTCGTAAAACTAATGAAATAGGATTTTTCATTAATTGATTAGTAATATCCATATCATCATATTCACCTTCGGATGGAAGTTTTAATTCAGCAATTTCCCATAAAAGCATTCCAAAACTAATAATAATAATAAATTTAAGATAATAATAATAATAATAATAGATTAGGGCATAATTACTTAATACTTCACATTTTCGATAATATACAGTACATATTGAGGCAGCACAAAAATAGCTGGAGTCACAGGGGATGATAGAGGAATAAATTATCCTTATATGTCATCCATTATCCAGGATAACTGTTTATTCATCCTGGTACGAAAACGTTTTTTTGGATGACAGAGGATGAAGGTAAACAAAGAGAAAAACTATAAAATAGTTGTGGCTAGAAAAAAAGAAAGGAGAGATTCTTCTTCTCGCGAAAACTTTTAAATCATATAATTTTCTTACCTTAATAACGAATTTCTTAGTAATTTTATTATAACAAATAATTTCATAACAATCTGAATATTTCATATATTTTTTTTTATAAATAATTTTCTAATAATTCTAGTAATAAAAAAATATAAATAATTTTTGTAATAGTTTTTAATTTTAATAATAATTTCGTGTACTGGAATAGCAATATATGCCAACGCAATAATATATCCTTATTGACTTATTCTTTTAATAAATTTTAGTTTTACTCTTCTTGGCAAGTTATTTCAAAAAGTCTGTTAAATTTCAGTAGCGTGTGAAGTAGTTAGTAAAGATACTTTTACTCCACTTGCTCACCATACCTTCAGATATTATATGTAATTGCATTGTTTGAGTGTTAGTAAGCAGGTTTAAATTATACCTGCCACCCAAATTCAAAATCCAAATGTTGAAATTTCAAATGCCGAAATTCCAAATCCCAAATCCCAAATTATAATTAGTATTTTTTGCTGAAATCCCAAATCCCAAATCCCA